GTCCCCCAAAAATGAATGGAAGAGGATTTGCTGAGACAGAAGGACCCCTAAAGTATGGGTTTAAAGCTATTTCAGAGGGCAAGGAGGCCTCGTTCGGTGGCCCCAGGCGTTGAGTGGCCTGAGGCAAAGAAAGATGCCATCCATCGTCCCAACGAAGAAGCCACCTGGACGACCGGTTAAATCTCATTTCAACCCTAGCTTGTGGGGCAACCCCCCCCCTTCATGATCTTGATGCTCTATGAGCCGCCCAGAGCAGATTCCCAAATCTAGAGGGGCTGGGTAAAAAGGGAACAAAATATATAAATAAAATTGCTACGAGGGAAGGCTGCCCATTTAGAGGCCCCTGGGACAGGTGTCGTGTGCGGTGTATACACAGGTGTGTCCTCTTAGGTGGGCAAACACCCAGGGAGCAGAGGAGAAAGAGGCCGAGGCTGCCACCTCCCGGGATCTGCTGCCCGAGACAGTGGCTTGCCCTGTCTAACAGCAGGCCCTGCCTGTCTGTGCCCTCACAGGAACAGAAAACGTGGGCAGAAAGGGGGGACACACCTGTGTATACACCGCATCTCTGTTGTTCTGGTGTCAATGGCATCACCCAGGAGGCGAGGGGGTGGGTGGGATCCAGGAGCATCTTTCTGGGACCATGGGTGGCGTGACTGCTGATTTTTTTTCTCTTCCAACCCACCCCATTTTTCCTGTCAGAAGAATCGTCCAGGACGGCACCTCTTGGGCACCTCGCCCCACGGATGCCCCATAGAGGTACATATTTTGGAAGGAAGACGATGAGGCTTTCTCTCCCTGTCCTGTGGCCCTCCACAAAAAGTTAAAGATTGACCGCTTCTTGGCTTTCTAACCCTCCGTCTGTTCATATCTCCTTCAGGAGAGGGGGGCCTAAGCCCCTCCGGTCCGAGCCATGCGCCTCGTGCCATGAGTTGTGGTCTTCGATCTAGTTTTGTTTATTTTCTATCCCATGTTTTTCTAAATAAACCTAGTCACCTTGGTTTAAGTGCAGCGGTCTGCCTGTTGATCAGTCCCACATACAGAAGAAATACGGTGAGTTTCAAAACTCACAGGAACACTCATGCTAACTATATGGTATACAACGTCAACATTGGCTCAGGCATGTTGTGAGAACAGCTGATGGTTGGATTCCGAAAGATCTCCTGGATGGAGAATGAGCACAGGGAAAATGCCCCAGAGGGAGACCACAGCTGTGATACAAGGATATCTGCAAGCAGGATCTGAAGGCCTTAGACAGCTTCCCACAGAGCCTGAATTTAAATTTACAAGGTCCCTTGATCCTTTCACGTAGCATTCGCAGGTTTGCCCCTTGGCAGGGACATAATCTAGATAAAGGAATCTCCAGCCCTCAGCTTGCAAGATTCAGAAAAAGGCTCTTGATGACGGGGGGCTGTGGGGAAGCCATTCATTCCTAGGGTTGACCTAACTTTGAAAAGACATGTGGGCACCTGTCAACAAAGAAATCTCATCCGATCTTTGAATAAACAAGACCCTTCAGTGGTGACTAAGCATTTAATGGCATCTGAACAATGAACACATTTATCGTGGCAGACGTTTTCATAGGTTGTAGTCCAACTTGCCAGATGTCGGAAGCCGTTATTCTGAGTTACAGGCTTGTTCACCGTCCTTGAAAGGGAATTAACGACAGGGAAGTCAAGGAGCAAAGAAGTGCCATAGCTATAGAGAGGGGGAATCATGTTCTTATCCGTGGCCACTCAAAAATAGGTTTTTGTGAAGTGAGAATACAATTATCTTAGCAGTGGTTACGCAGGCTGAAATTCTGTTGCTTCACTGAGTAAGCCACAACTAGGCTAAGCCAGGTGAATCGGTGAAAGGTAGAGAGAAGTTTGCTCACCAAATCCCCAGTCATTCAGTAGACCTGCTCTGTCAGTGCCTATGGTCTACGACAGGAAAAAAAAAGCCTTTATCGTGATTCAGTCTCCAGGAGACAGAATTGAACTCCTTGACAAACCATAATCAATGCCAATACTTGACTTTATTTTTATTATAATTTTCTGTTTTCCCATCTTGAGCACTAGTAAGCATTACTAATTACTATTGTTTTTGAATTGTTTTTAACTGTTTTAGATTACAATGTTTGATGGAACCCGCCCAGAGTAGACTTTGTCTAAAAGAGCAGGATAGAAATCGAATTAATTAATTAATTAATTAATTAATTAATTAAAGGCAAGACATGTGGAGGAGCAGTGTCCATGATGGATGCGCACACCGACACAAAACGAGGGGACGCTCTAACCATTCTAAACAACCTAAACCATCTCCTGATTTAATTCATCAGTGGAGTTACTCTCTGAGTTAATCCTGAAACCCTTGATACATATCTCCATTCTATTCACATGAGCTAGCATGAACTGCAGGTATGCCTCCAAGAAACCTCACTCTGCAAAGGCCTTGGTCTTGCCTCCTGTGAATGTTGCCATTGGCGGAAGGCGTGCCCTGCTAGCAGCCCCATTGTGGTAAGGCTCCTACGTGTGCTGTTGCGGAGCCTTATGGGGATCGAGTCTGTATGCAAGGCTAGGCATAAAGCTGGTTACAGCTCAAAAGTGGTTTTGCGCTACTGTGAGGATATGAACACTTGCAGAGTGTGAGTGTCTGAAAGGGCTGTACATTCTCAATAATTTAATATGATTTCTTTAAAAAACAGGTTAAAGGAGATATTGCGTCTCAGGTACCAAACTAAAGTGACTAGTAGGGGCTTCTATGTTCCTCAGCTTGAAGGGGAATTTTTGCTACTTTGCCTCAGGCAGCAAAATATCCTGGAACATCCTTTGAAGTAGGAGTCACCCAAGATAAATTTTTCTGATGAGTACCTTATATTATAGAAATCTATAGTAAAAGAACTTTTCCTGTCATCTACTTTCAAATGTGTCTGAGAAGGGCATGTATTATTTGATTAAATTAATACTTTGTTGTAGGACAGGAAGTCCAGTTAAATGAGATTCGATTAAAAATGTGGGGTGGATTAAGTGGACAATGAGGCAAGGGCTCCTTAATCTCGCCTTCCACCATCTCTGCTGCACCAGGCCGTCTGCAGCTTCAGCTATTTTTGGAAATGCAGTAACAGTATTATTGTTCTAATTATGTCTGCTTTTCCTGACTGATACACAGGAAAAGTGTTTCAAACAGATAAGCAGGACATCACATAACAGCAAAGTCCATTTGGAGGTTTATTATACTGTTTATTTAAATGTTGACGTTGTTTATGGAGATGAACCTTGATAGCATCTGTGCAGCAGCTTGTAGACCAGGTGTGGTGCGGCTTTGGAGGCCACAGGGGAGAAGAACGCTGCAAAACGAGGGAGGGCAAAAGTTCCCACCTTCCCAACGGATGACGGAGAGGGTGCAGCTGGAGTTATCCCACTCTCTACAGAGCCTGGCCTTTTAAACATGACCGCTAGTGATGGCATACCTCTTGTCTTCAGTCATTTCACACGTGCCATTTCCAGTGCCTTTTGAGTTTGTTCGTACTACAAAAAAGTGCAACAGACCAAATTTGGCCGAGGCCTTTTGCTCGATATTCCTTTGTGTATAGGTATACAGGTAATCCACTTTGTTTCAGGGCACCCGTTAAGTGAGGTACCGTTGTATTCAGTTCCTTCATAGGGAAAATTTTAACATTTTCTGGTTTGAAGCAAGCCTTACCATTAGGTGTAGACTCATAATAAATACTATGAACGAAAGCACAGTAGTTTCTATAATCATCATCACATTTTAACGTTACCACAATCTGA